GGATCCCTTAAAGGAAGCCTTAAAAGAACCCTTACTGGAACCCCTATAGATCCCTGAAAGGAACCCTTATAGATCTCTTAAAAGAGACCCTAAAGGAAACCTTAATGGAACCCCCCCATAGATCCCTTCCATCCCACAAGGGTGACTCCAAGGGTTATGTTCAGGCTCTGGCCTGGCCGTTCAGTTCAGGATTTCGCTCGCAGAGGGCTTTTCTGATTTGGCACACCAAACACAGCCTAAACCGTAAACCCTAAACCGTATACCGTAAACCCTAAAGTGAAACCTACCTACATGTAGCAATCCTCTCATCCATGCACCCTTGGCCTCAGAGCTTCAGACTAAACTTTAAACGCCAAGCCTTGCGCCCTACGCCGGTCCAAGGGGGGGACTTGCACAAAACTGCAATTTTGCGTGTTTTGGCCCTTCACCCCCTAGCCCGCACGGCGCCGGCTGTAGCCTAGACAGCGCCCCGTTGCCCGACCCGGACGGGGGTCGGGCCGGAGCTAGTACCCCGGAGCCGGTCTGAGGATTGCGTCCCCACTGACACCCCTGGCCTCCCTGCCCTGCCCTCTGCCCTGCCCTGCCCTGCCGTTCCCCGTCTCCGAAAACGTGGAGAAATCTGGTGCTGGTTTTTGCCTCCTAAATTCCGTTCATAAAATGTGCATTTTAGCGTGGGCCAGGTTCCAAAGTCGAGGTCCCATCCTTTCTTTTCGTATGGCTGCTTTAAACCCTTCGGTTGAAGAAGTAAAGAAAACCATAGAATGAGTTTAGGTGCTAAACCCTAAAAGGAATAGGTTTGGGTGGTTCGGCGGCCTTAGACGGCGTGGGGTGGGAGAGTTAAAAGAAAGAGCCATCCACAAGCAGGCTCCAACAGCCAATCGTCAGAAGACGACGCACTCGAAATTGCACTGTGGCAACATACTTCCGCTTATGCGCCACTCTGCGGCAAAACCTAAACCCCAAACCCTAAATTTCAATCCTGAACCCTAAATCCCAAGACCAGCTTTTCGAGGCAGTGGCGACGTCCCGGCGCCGTTTCATCGAGCGCGGGGCAAGTGGAGACCCTGGTCTTGTCGGAGTTCTGTGCACCGCAGTTTCACCCGCTGATAGTATATTATAGTATATTATGGAGTATGAGATTGTAAAGTATATTATAGAAAATTATAGTACATGTAATATATTTTTTGTGGCTACATCAGCTCCTGTCAGCCATTGTCGGCTATGAATGACTGGTTTGCCATGAACTGCCGAGTGTGTACCTGTGTAGCAGCGGCTCAAGCACGAGGCAGGCGAAGCATCGCAGGTTTCCACCTTGCCGCCTCATGTTCAAGCTCTTCCTTGCCAGCTTGGCCCTGGTTCTCTTCCAGGGGGACGCGCAGTTGCGAGGAGCCCGGCGTCTGCAGGACGCCGACCCAGCGCCAGCGGAAGCCCCGGCAGAGGCACCGGCAGAGACTCCAGCAGACGCTCCGGCCGCTGGGGGTCTTACAGCGGCGGAACAGGCCCAACTCAACCGCGACTTCGTCACGGCCATCCGTCGTCAGGACACAGCCACTGCCGAGACACTGCTTGCCAGCGGCGCTCAAATCGATGATATCTCCCAGAGCGGACCCCACTGGTCTGCGCTGGCCCAAGCCTGCGTCAGTGTTGATTCAACCATGGCTCTCTGGCTTTTGGGGAAGGGAGCAGACCCAGACGTTGCGGACAATCGTGGACGCACTCCGCTTTACCATGCAGTCCATTACTACATGTACGATGTCGTGGAGGAGATGCTCAAGACGGCTAAGAACCTCTCTCCCCATGATGGAGACGGGGTGGACATGCTCACACGCGCGGTGTGGCAGAAGGACGCCCGCATGGTGGAGATGCTTCTCGAGGCAGGCGCCACGTCAGAATCTGCCACATCCTCGGCAGAGAATGCGGGCTGGGAGATCGCAAAGCTGTTCGGCTACACCTCGACTGTGGCTCCCCTCGTCGTCACGGAGGCTCCCGCAGAGACACCCATCCTGCCGTGATGCAAAGCAGGACAACGGAATGCTGAGATGAGATCAACACGAGCACATTTGAGCTCTTCCCAGCAGCCGTGATTGTTCCAAACGCAGCTGCGAGTCCACTCACCTGGGCTTGAAGCCTGAAATGCTGCAGAATTCGCTTGGCAAGGCTGACGTCGCACAAGATGTCGGAAAAGGAGGCTTCTGCTCAGACGGACAACAGCAGAAGCATGTTCATCCCCTGGCCAGAAACCAACGCTCTGCAAAGGCCTAGGCACTCGCCATGGTCGAGCTGCTCAGGCGGCACTTTCGACTGTGGTGCTGTTGCAACTTGATAATATAGGGGCCTTAACAATTAGAACAGGGTTTTGGGAAGTTTTGGGGCTCATTGTACTGTAGTTATAATAAGGAACCACCAAACTAGTTTGGGTAATTATCAAGGTCCCTATAGTAGATTCCGAGATCATCATGCATTGCGTAAGTCCCACGCGCTGTCCTTTGCTCCGCCTTGTTTCTGCGGCCGTCAGGCCCTGATGTGGAACGCTACTGCTTCGATGCCCGTCCATGGCAGATGCTGCTGCTGGTGATGCTGATGATGATGGTGATGATGACGACGATGGCAGTGGCATTCATGATGACGATGACAACGGTGATGGTTGGTGATCAGGACCATGATAAGGGTGCTGGGGCTGGGGCGGCTCGTCTCGGACGCCTGGGAGGAGGATGGTGGAACTGCTGATGATGATGCGAATAGTTGCCGTTACTGCTCGTGCTGGTCCTGGTAGTGATGGTGATGGTAATGGTGGCGGTGGTGGTGGTGGTGGTGGTGGTGGCGGCAGCGGCAGTGCTGTGGTGGCCATGGTGATAATCCTGACCGCGATGTCGGTTATGTGATGAGATTGCCGATCGTGATGATGGTGTTAATGATAGTGTGCGGTTGCTGACAATGATCATGACCTTTACGGTTGTTGATGGCTGACGGTGACGATGATCGCCGGCATCATCACCATCACCGGCATCATCATCATCATCATCATCATCATCATCATCATCATCATCATCATCACATCATCGTCATCAGCGTCGGCATCCCCATATCTCCATCTTCATCGTCATCAGGATCTTTACGGACATGCCAGACTCCACTCCTCCTCCGGTGTGTCGCTCTCCGAGACAGGATGACCGGGCGGCGACGTGGAGGGGTGACCAAGGCCGAATCACAAGTGTTCAAGGGAAGCCACCGTCGGCAGAGTGCGAATCGTATCTGGTAACAACCTTAGATAGGTAAACTCAAGCAGACTTCCGAAGAAACCTATAGAAACCTTGACACGGCTGCTTTCAAGGTCTGGTCCAGAAACCAGCTCCACCTCGTCGGTCTAGGTTTGGCAGTTCGTGGAATAGTACTTGCGGGTTTCTGGAGTCCTTCAGCAGAGGGGCAGAAGTCAGGTCAAAGCTTGCCATGCCCCAGTGTCGAAGCCCCACAGCGCCAAGACTCACCGCATTTCACTGCCCTGCCCTCACAGAAGCTCAAAACTGTGAGGGGCATCCGAACCGCTGGCCGTCCCGGGGCGACGGCTGGGCCTGCTACAGGCAATGAGTTCGGCAGGTGAAGTCTCCTGAAGACCTTTTGATCCTCAGATGACCCACCCTAAGCCTTACTGTCCCGAAGCTTGATGAACTGGACCCAAAGAGGTAGTTTTGCTTGCGTACCAAGCACTGTGCAGCGTGCTTATCACCCTCAGTTTGGATTATCACTGTTGTTGCGACTGCTCTGGTGGCGGTGGCGGTGGTGGTGGTGGTGGCTGCTGCTGCTGCTGCTGCTGCTGCTGCTGCTGCTGCTGCTGCTGCTGCTGCTTCCGCTACGTCGGCCGCTGTGCTGCATCTGATCCTACCACAACTACTATCCTGACAACTTGTAACTTATTTCCTTGCCATTGGCTTCGGTAATCGGTTCCATGTCCACTATTGTTTTCAATCGAGTAGGGGCTTTTCTGGGAGACTAGTGATGACGGCGGTCGCAAACCAGCTGCAAAGGATGTTTACTGCACATCTTTTTACAAGGTCCGTCGCGTATAAGAAGGATCTTCACGATGAGTCGGAGCATATGCGGCGGCCTCGTAGACCCTGAACCGTGAGCTCCCAAGATCATGATTCCCAAGCCCAGAACCATAGATGCAGACCCTTAGCCCTCAACTCATCATGACAGAAGCCAACGCAGGGCGGTCTTGTCGAGAGCTCGTCCACATTGGCCTCGAGTTCGAAATCCGACTTGTTGCAGGAGGGAGGGCTTGACATTGTTATTCGTACGTGAAGTACCGTCATTATCAGCATTGTTATTCTTATCACTACTGTAAGTAATCCATCACGTTATACACCTAAACCCTACACCACAGGCTCCGAACTCCATAGACCCACCTATCCCCGAGCCCTTGACGGTTTGGGCTTCAAGCTCCGTTTCAATCACTAAACGGGGTTTATCATCATCACGTCGTCGTACGTGCTGCCAATGGAATACAGCGGAGCCGTTCGATCGGATGTCTTGGAGCACTTCTTTGACTGAAGTTTGTGTTTTTCATTGCGGTATCGGGACGACGGTGCCTTGGGCTCTATGAGGAAGAAAGTCGGGCAGAGGAATCTGAAGACCTCACAGCAGCCTTGAGCAGTTTTCTCTTCTGCAGGGGCCTTAATTTAATAGTTTGATATACTGTGTGTGTGTGTGTTTTTTTTTTGGGGGGGTCTTTATTTTGCTTTGTAGAAAACCATGACGTAGCCTATCTTACGTATCACCGTAAAAAGATAAAACGTATAATGCTTGTTCGACGTATGCAAAAACGTATACACGTCTTCATGTTATACGTTTTTGCCTTTGTACGTCGTGCAGCCCGGACGGGCGGGCTGCAAGACGCATAAACGTATCCGTATCAGCTGTACGGCCCCGCAGGCCGTACGGGCCGTGCGGGCCGTAGGACGCATAAACGTATCAGTGATTGTACAGGTTATACGTATAAACTTTACGTTTATTTGGTACATGGGCTGTTCAAGGCCTCGATCTGGAACGCATAGCCCTTGATTCCTGACCAAAAATACGCCAAAAAACCTTCAGATCCCTTCAGGTCCCTTGGCTTCGCTCCCCTGCGCCTGCGGGTTTCAGGCTTAGGCTTTAGGGACCTTTAGGGCTTCTGGTTTAGGAACAAGACACTTCGATTCGCGCTCGGGTTCCGGGTCATTTAGGTACGAACCTGGGCAGCCTGCAGCTGAAGTGAAGACCATATGGTTTGGAGTTTGGATTCCCCCCCAAAAGGCGTGATTGTGGTGAAGCCCATGCTATGCCATCAGGAGCTTGTGCTTCAAAAGTTGCAGGTCCTTTTGCGTCAAGTCTCGTAGCAGGTTTCTTAAATGTAGACCCCATCTCTTAATTCGATCACCGTCGATGTGAGCCCTCCAGCAGCTGTTGCTCGCATGGAGGAGCCTATCGCCATGGAGCCCATCGCTATGGAACCCCGACAGGTCCTTTTCTGAACTTCAAGCCCTATAGACCCTCGTAGCCTTTCTCGTCGAATTGAGTTGTAGGTTGAGATCTAGCCTAGAGTTTGACCAGAGGATCCGGGTTGCGTGTAGGCGGAGTTGAGGTCCCCACTTGTTTGCAGCAGATTAGGGCTTGAGGGTTCAGGCTTCTGGATTGTGTGGAGAGGCATGGTTTTCAGAACGTGGGTCTTGCGGGCCTTAGAATTTCAGACTTCCATGCGCAGTAGAATCAGTAGAACTGTTTCTTTGACCGAGCGAATGTGATCGTGATGATGTATGAAGGATTGTCTGCATTTGCAATCATACGACCGCAATCAGTATGTATATATATATATATATATGTATGTATGTATGTATGTATGTATGTATGTATGTATGTATGTATGTATGTATGTATGTGTGTGTGCGTTTTCTGCATACATACATCTAAATTCTATTTATATGTGTTTGTATGCATAGATCCTGAGGCGCAGCTGAGAACGTATTCTATACACATCCTTTCCAAAGTACAGTCTTTCGGACACGCGCGGTGCACCATGAACATATATCTTGAGGCGCAGGCACATTATGTCATACCAGGATATACCAGGCATCGCAGGCACGAAGGGTTTGCCTTTCCTCCAGGAGCGCCAGCGGGTGCGTGCAGCGCGGGAGCCCGCACAGCCGCACATGCCCCCGGCCGGCTCGGAGGACGCCGAAATTCCCAAACATTTAACCCTGAATCCCTGTGTTCATGATAGGAGTCATGAACGACTAAGAGGAAGATGAAGCGATGCTCATGTCGATGGCCAGGTCGAACGGTCAGTGTGATGGGGATGCCGGTTCCCTGTCATGGCGATGGCTGCTGCTGGTGGTGGTGGTGGTGGTGAGGAGGCTGATGAACCGGTAGTTTGTGGAGGCAACCCCCTTACTCAGAGTGACGATGGCGTCTGCATTCAGACAGATGTCTGCGATGATGATGATGATGATGGTGATGTTGATGTTCGGGTAAGGCTGACGATGATGATGATGATGATGATGAGGAAGATGAGGGTGACGAAAACCATCTGGCCATGATCCTTCTTCTTGGTTGCTGTTTTTGGCAGTTGTCAAGACAAGGATGTTGAGCGGGAGAATGAGATTCTCGTGTTGATAGTTTTCATGTTGCTGCATGACTCATCGCAGTCAGTGTCCTCATCATGAAATATGTCATATAAGCATCATCGCCAGCTGTACCACCAGCGCACGCCACCGCCACCACCGCCGCCGCCACCACCACCACCACAGCAGCACCACCAGCACCACCAGCACCACCAGCACCACCAGCACCACCACCAGCACCACCACCAGCACCACCAGCAGCACCACCAGCAGCACCACCAGCAGCACCACCACCAGCACCACTACCAGCACCACCACCAGCACCACCATCAGCACCACCACCAGCACCGTCATCATCATCATCATCACCATCACCATCACCATCATCGCCATCATCATCATCATCATCAACATCATCTCTTCTGCCTCGTGTTCATAAGAACATCTGCATCTTCAAGCATGAGTGTGTTTTGGCTTTTGCAGGTAGGTTTGCTCTTGAAGGTGTTGTTTTACAGAACATCAGGATGCAGCTCGCGTTTGCTAATCTAACTTTCCTTCGTTATTGCTGCTGTAATCATTATGAGACAGTGTGGCCCAGTTGCTAAAGCGCAGGTCTTGTCACACAAGATGCTCCTATGCAGCATTGGCCCAAGCACAAGCGTTTCAAGCGAGCCGTGATTTCGCCCTCCTGCTTCCACCTTGCCGCCTCATGTTCAAGCTCTTCCTTGCCAGCTTGGCCCTGGTTCTCTTCCAGGGGGACGCGCAGTTGCGAGGAGCCCGGCGTCTGCAGGACGCCGACCCAGCGCCAGCGGAAGCCCCGGCAGAGGCACCGGCAGAGACTCCAGCAGACGCTCCGGCCGCTGGGGGTCTTACAGCGGCGGAACAGGCCCAACTCAACCGCGACTTCGTCACGGCCATCCGTCGTCAGGACACAGCCACTGCCGAGACACTGCTTGCCAGCGGCGCTCAAATCGATGATATCTCCCAGAGCGGACCCCACTGGTCTGCGCTGGCCCAAGCCTGCGTCAGTGTTGATTCAACCATGGCTCTCTGGCTTTTGGGGAAGGGAGCAGACCCAGACGTTGCGGACAATCGTGGACGCACTCCGCTTTACCACGCAGTCCATTACTACATGTACGATGTCGTGGAGGAGATGCTCAAGACGGCTAAGAACCTCTCTCCCCATGATGGAGACGGGGTGGACATGCTCACACGCGCGGTGTGGCAGAAGGACGCCCGCATGGTGGAGATGCTTCTCGAGGCAGGCGCCACGTCAGAATCTGCCACATCCTCGGCAGAGAATGCGGGCTGGGAGATCGCAAAGCTGTTCGGCTACACCTCGACTGTGGCTCCCCTCGTCGTCACGGAGGCTCCCGCAGAGACACCCATCCTGCCGTGATGCAAAGCAGGACAACGGAATGCTGAGATGAGATCAACACGAGCACATTTGAGCTCTTCCCAGCAGCCGTGATTGTTCCAAATGCAGCTGCGGGTCCACTCACCTGGGCTTGAACCGAGAAATGCTGCAGAATTCATGTGGCAAAGCTGACGTCGCACAAGATGTCGGAAAAGAGGCTCTTTTCAGGCCGTTTAGCATCTTTAATCCTTTATGCTAAACCCCTCAGAAGATCTGATGATGAAGCAAGCCTGCGTATTTCTGCCTTCGGGGACGTTCTGTACAAGCTTGATATCATAGCACTACCAGTCCGCTATCGAAATCCGCTTCCTCCAGGAGCCTCGCTCCCATGAGGCGCTACAGGCCGAGAAGCCCGAAGCCTCAAGCGGGAGGTTGAGGTTTCCGGGGTTTTGAGCTTTGGGGCTTAGGAGTCTTATGGGCTTAGGGTTTAGGGTTTAGGGGTTGAGGAGTGTTGAGGGTGGAGATGGACTCAGGAGAATTAGAGGGTTCCAAGGCTCGAGGCGGCACATTCTTGGCCATCAGCCCTAAAGTCTTCCTTGAAGCGTATATCCTGACCCAAAAAGAGTTTGGAGTCTGGAACTTCGAGTCTCTGGAGGTGACAGGATGCATCAGGTTACCGTAATATCGTGGTTCTGCATATCTTTTGATAGTGCGTGCTGTGTTACAGCAGGTCTTTAAATACTGATGGCGGGGCAGCCATGCCCGGCAATACCTTCCCGTGGAACGCTTGCATAGATAACGAAGCTTCTAAATCTGCATGTTTGTCCGCGTATAGACCTCATGTGTTTAGGTTAGCTCGTACTTTACAACCTGTTATCTATCGGTCTCTGTCTGTGTCTCTCTCTCTCTCTATATATATATATACTATATATATACGCACACACCAGCATTTGTTCATGTTCATAATGTTCGTATGGCTCCTATACTGTGATGTGTGGTATGTTTTTGCGCATTCACCGATGGCCCGATTCGCTCCCACCCCCTTATTTAAAGTCTGTCGGACCCGCAGAACTAAGGGGAATATGGAGTTTAAGGCCCAGCCAGGTCTTGGGGTACTTGGGACTGTTCGGGGTTGCAGTTTCGGGCACTTGGTGATCTTGATTGGCTGCCCAAGCCCCAAAGGCTGAACCCAAACTCCAAGAACCCTAAACCGTATGCCCCCGAATCCTGAACCCTACGGCCCTGAAAACTGCGTCACAAGACATGCTCAGACTCTGCGTTCCAAACCTACCACGCGGAACAGAGCCTTCAACAAAAACACCACGTCGCTCTCGTCAGCCACTTCTGCTTGGAAGCCCAGGGGACTTAGAAAGTCTGTTATAAGTAAAGTCATAATTGGGGTAAACTCCATTTAGGGTATTTGTAACTCTACTAAAACCTACTTACTAAGTCCCCTGGCCTCTAAGTGGGATGCCCTACAGCCCGGAGCCGCCAACATCAACCTCAACCCACAAAATTCCTGCATTTGCACCCCCCCCCAAAGTTCATGCAATGGCTTGTCCCAAATCCCGCAAACCCACATCGGGTAGTTGTCAAAAATATGGTCCCTTTTTGGGGTACCCAAGATATTAGATGCCGTACTATATCAAGGACCCAAAAAAAAGGACCATGATTTTGACAACCACCCACAGCGATTTGTGTCGAGAAGCACCCGGGCGTCGAGCGCCCTTCGGACCTGGTAGCCGGGCTGGCGCCCAAGGAGAGCCCTGAACGGCTTCAGGGTTTCCCAGAGAGTCCATTATCCCTTAATTAAGGAATGCACCGTAACTTATAGTCGGATCCCTACTATGGTTTAAGAATATTCCTTAATTACGGTACTGGAGACTCTGGGTTTAGGAGTTTGAGGCTTCCACCCACCCTGATCCTGACACGCCGTTTCGAGGTGGCTGGCACATCCAGAAATCGTTACGACCATGCATCGACCTTGCTAATACAGGGGCCTAAATAACTACCAATACATCTTGGGGGTTCCTTAGTATATTGAGAGTAGAAAAAACCCTAATTTATCAAGGCCCCTATACAACAGTCTCTGGTTTCCTCTCTGCGGTGCCCAAAAGGACCCGCTTCCGCCGGATGCAGAGCTGCCTCTTCAGCCAGCTGCCAGAAAGCAGGTTGGGTACCATAAGGGCCTTAATAATTACCTATACTTTTTTGGGGGTTCCTCATTCTACTTATAGTACAACATACCCCAAAACCGTATTCTAATTATTAAGGCCCCTATTACAGATTTCCTGCGGTGTCCGAGAGGATCCGCTTCCGCCGGATGCGGAGCTGCCTCTTCAGCCGGCTGCGAGAAAGCAGGTGGGTACCATAAGGGCCCTTAATAATTACCTACACTATTTTGGAGGTTCCTGAAAACTATAATGGCCCCATACCCTATTCTAATTATTAAGGCCGCCAAAAGCAGCCTGAGGTAGCCTTAGGATGAGTTTAGGCGAGGGCTGAGGGCACTTGGATTCGGACCTTGGTCTCCGCTTCGAAAACTGGCGTCTTCAAGTGTGAGGTTTGGGTTTGTAAGTTTTGCAACTGCTCTGATCGACTGGTACGTGCCAGGGCGCACAAGTAGCCAGAGAGGCAATCATGCACACGTGCACACCTTCTGCTTCTCACGACGATAAGTCCGCAACTGCACGCACGTACATGAAGACATGCCCTCACAAATGCATACATTGTTTGTTTGTATGTTAACATGCTTGTTTTGCTTACTTGTTTGCATTGTGTGGTTTGGGTTTTAGTGTTGCATACACAACCAAGTCGCAGAGCAAAGGCCGTCACAGTTAGGCATTTGTTCGTCGTCGGTGTCGTCCACGTGATGGCGACAATCCTCATCGTCATCACCACCATCATCATCGGCATCAGCATCAATCTATGAGGATGATGGTCTTCATCATCTTCGTCATCATCACCCTCACCATCACCATCGTTATCATCTTAATCATCATTACCGTCAGCATCATCATCATCTTCGCCATCGTCAACATCACCATCGTCGTCGTAAGCATCATCATCACCACCACCACTCTGATTTTCACCACCACTATCACCTTCTTGTATTAAACCATCAGCATCATCAACCACATCAGCATCGTCATCATCATCATCATGCACACCATTATGAACATCGCCGTGATCACCAAGATCAATATCTCTATCATCGTCATCATCGTCACCACCGCCATCATCATCATCTTCATCATCATCGTCATCATGATGATCATCATCGTTTTACGTGTTTTCAGTTCATCACAGGAACCGCCCGAGTCTGCTGCACCGGAGATGCCGGCGACGGCACCCCCTCCCATTCAGGAGGCTGGACTCAACAAAGGGCAAGCCGGGCTCAGGTATTCGGGAGAGTGCTAACCGAATCCAAGCATAGCAAAGTCACTCGGCCGCGAAACATGTCGGCAGCTTGTCTACTGACCGCCGTGGTATTCCGTACACTGTTGTGGGCAGTTGAAGGAAGCGTCCTTGATTGATTGGTTTCCGACTCACGTTTCGTCGCACATCATCCCGAACTTCACATCGGCGGTTGGGGTGGGGACAAGTGCTTATCCGTTCTGACCGATGCATTGCTGTAAATCAGCGTATTTTGTGTCTGCGTGGGCCCCAGACAGTGCAAGAGCACTGAGCAGTCCAAATGCACTTTCCCAAGAAACATTCCAAAAGCACCTCTGAGTCCGAGACCACCCCATTAGTCCAAAATGGCGCACCACACCGGGCCGGGAACAGAAGTGGAGTTGCAGCCCAAAACAGTGACTCGAGTGATTTGAAGGCTCCACCTATAAAAAAACAGGGAGCCGGTCCATCAAGCTCAAAGCGCGAAAAGACACGATTTTACAATGAGTTCTGCATCCCCCAGCGGACCGGCGCACCGGGGCAGGCGAGGGACTGCGGCAAAAATGCGATTTTCGTCGGAAGTGTGCATCGCGCCACAGCGGCAGCCGCGGAACTGCGTTGCTCGCATTAGCAATCATGAGCATGGTGTTACCACATTGTTTGGGGAACACAAACCCCTAAACGCCTCAGACCCGAAATCTTTAAGACCCTACTAGTCAAACCCCTCAGAGCCTGAAGACACTGAGGCCCTGGAAGGGCCCTGGTAGAACCTTTCTCAAGATCTTATCCCACAGGGCCTTACGGCCCGAAGATCTCCGAATCAGGAAGACCCGTAAAGACCCTAGCAGCTCGCCTACATTTTACACGGATAAGACATAAGACCCTCCTTGAATCCCGACACCGCCCCTGGTTCAAGGCCCTACTACACGGGCCTTAACAATTACCGAGTTAGTTTCATGGGCCCCAAAGCCCTATTCTAATTATTAGACATTAAGAAGCCTTTAAAGCAGTCCAATGAAATTCTCCGCGAGGCCTCCACTCTGTCAGTTTCCCGGCCCCGCATCCAGGCCGTCTCCCGGAGCTTTGGGGTTCCTATAAGGCTTAGGGCTTTAGGGTTTAGGTTTAGGGTTTAGGGTTATGGTAAACCCCAAAAAGTTGGAAGCTGGATTAAGGACAATTAGTGCTGGGATTGCCTCTACATGACTCTTCAGGATTGATGAGGCTATTGGGTTTCCAACCTTGGGGCTTCTACTGTAGGATTTAGGGGTGTTTGGGGTTTGGGGTTTCGGAAGCTTGAAGTCGAAGGTTTTTTTTTGAAGCAGCTGACTGGAGCGGAGTTGACTCTTATAAATTACTCCGGGAGATGCTACGTGTGCACTAGGAAGCACGACGTCTTGAGGCTGCCTCGGTCGTTGTCGGATGTTTGGAGGTGTTTTCATCTGGATGGCGTTTCCTTCGAAGTCTTGGAAGGTTTGGATGGTTGCAGTCGTCGCCAGGGGAAGGGCTTGGCTCTTTCGGGGCGATGATGCCGACGGTTGATGTGTTGGTGTTAGTGGTGACGATAACATGCACGATAACGAAACTGATGGTAGCAAGTAGCAACAGTGATGGTACCCCCCCGCCCTCATCACCAGCATATCTGCATC